ATGTCTATATTGGATGTTTATATGGGATGACTATTGAGTGTTCATATTTTTTTTTCATAATATTTAAATACATTGTCAAATGAGCTATCACAAATTTATAAAACATGAATAAATTAGTTTTAAAACAAAAGGAAAAAGGGTTCCTCTTACATGCAAAGTAAAAATAGTACTTTTAAATTGAAAAACACATTTATTTTCTTTACATCTTTGCTTAAGAACATATACTCTAGATACAAACATAAAATATCCTGATATAAAACAATGATAAATTATCAGAAATGACTGATGTGGCTGCATAAACAATTGAGTGCGAATGATATACTTCTGTTTAAAACATTTCTAAAACATATACTTATTCAGCAGCCCAAACAAACATAAGATTTCTTGCATCCACACCAATGATGCAAAGAGACTACACTGAAGCTGATCGAAAGTGTCGAATCATGGTAATCAACTAATTGTAACAGTATTAACATGAAAAAAATGGGATTAGATTGGCAACATACCACATTACCAGTATTTGGTTTAATTAACTAGATTTTTTTAACAATAAGATTCACAATGCTGAATTTTGATTGTTAAATTATCTTAGTATAATATTCCACAAGTTTTTTTTGTTGTTTATTTTATTTTCCTGTTTGTGGTAACCTATGTGCTTCTGTAGTCCAACATCAAAAGACAAATGATCCTATCATTGTGACTGAATTCAATTTGTGTTATGCAACTGTGCAATGAACCTTTGAAGATTCGAGATGTTACTCCCCGTTAATCAGTTCGGCTTAACAGTCATGGCTACTCTCATATTCTGATGTTACCAGAAATATTTGGTTATTTTTTCTCTCATACTTATTTCGCTTAATTTAGATAAACCTCTGTCACACTTCAGTTTTGGTAGTTTTACTTGGGATTGCTCAGAACTCTTGTGATAGTTGTTTGGAGCATACGTTCCACACATAGTTCTGCTTACATTTATTGTGTGGTAACCAATGAATTACAACACATGTTCCAGTATAGTTCTGTTTCCATTTCTTGTGAAGTAAACAATGAATTACAACACATGTTCCACGTATAGTTCTGTTTCCATTTCTTGTGTAGTAACCAATGAATTACAACACATGTTCCACACATATAGTTCTGCTTCCATTTCTTGTGTAGTAACCATTGAATTACAACACATGTTCCACGTATAGTTCTGTTTCCATTTCTTGTGTAGTAACCAATGAATTACAACACATGTTCCACGTATAGTTCTGTTTACATTTCTTGTGTAGTAACCAATGAATTACAACACATAAGTAACCAATGAATTACAACACATGTTCCACGTACAGTTCTGCTTCCATTTCTTGTGTAGTAACAACTGATTTACAACACATGTTCCACACATATAGTTCTGCTTCTATTTCTTGTGTAGTAACCAATGAATTACAACACATGTTCCAGTATAGTTCTGTTTCCATTTCTTGTGAAGTAACCAATGAATTACAACACATGTTCCACGTATAGTTCTGTTTCCATTTCTTGTGAAGTAACCAATGAATTACAACACATGTTCCACGTATAGTTCTGTTTCCATTTCTTGTGAAGTAACCAATGAATTACAACACATGTTCCATGTATAGTTCTGTTTCCATTTCTTGTGAATTAACCAATGAATTACAGCACATGTTCCACGTATAGTTCTGCTTCCATTTCTTGTGTAGTAACCATTGAATTATAGCACATGTTCTGGATATAGTTCACTTTGTATTGCTTCTTTGGTAACCAATGAATTACAATCTCCGAGAAGACTTCTTTTCTGTCTAGTATCATTAAGCCTGAAGAAATAATTAATTGTTTTAGACTTCATGAACGTGTAAACCTTGTAACAGAAGATTGTCCCGATATACCTTGGTTTTTCGTTGAATGGGCCCGGCATGGCCAGGTGGATAAGGCGCTTGACTCACAATCTTAGGGTTGCGGGTTCGAATCCGCATCCCACCAAACATGCTCGCCCTT